TAAATTTAATGCAAGCAAGCAGATGCTTTTCATTTCAGCTGCTTCTCAAACCTTTTCCTAATTTATAATCCAAATTTCCACAAGAGTGGAAAAAAGAACAAATTTGTACATCATCTTCACTTCCGTCACAGCAAGCACTGGAACAGCCTCAAACAAGAAAGTTTAATTTACTAGATGTCAACATTGCTCTATTAGTGAAGTGTGTGCTCAACTAATCCATCACCCTCCAACACTACTCTGCAGTGAGGAAAGGTAGAGAACGGCCAAGCATCTTGGGACCTCCAGTAATGACCCAGCCACTTTCAATGCTGCAGACAAGTTGGTAGCACACTGCAGGAAATCCATACCCATACTTGTGAAATTACAGATGAAAATGACAGCATTTCTTCCTTCAGTGTGATGATATTTTCTTTCCATACATTAACCATCACCACCACTCCAAAACACAAACACACTTCGAAGACTCCATTCATTCTTCCTCTCCCATTTCTTCAAACCTGTTTTTCCAGTAAAAAGAATATAAACCCATTTTCTGGTTTACAGATAGTTTATATTTACAGCGGTGTCACAGAGAAGGCAGGGAAGAGAACTAAGGAGCAGATGATACAGGGCAAAGCTATTAAAAACTACAGATCTTTACTGAGCACCTTCAATGAACTGGTGCAAAAATTGCCATAGACACTGATTTTAAGGAGAGAAAAAAAAAAAAACACAACACAAGGAGAAAAAGACTTGGCTGCTTTGACAACCAGTAAGTAAATGAAATAGCAACTTGTAATCCTGGACAATGATGGTCATCAAATAATCAGTCTGGAGATGACAAATACAATGGAATTCAGCATCCAGACTAGTAAACATACCTCACTTCATGAGATCATGGCTCTGGTCAAGTGTGAAACAGAGTGAAATAAAGCAATGAGCACCCTTAACCTTGATGTGAGACACAGGACATATACTATAATTTCCCCTGTAACTCCACTCCTTTTTAAGAGCATGAGCTGAAAGATATTTACATGCTTGTACAGGTGCTGGCAATCACAAACATTTTCCTCACCTTCCCATTGGCTAATTAGGGAAGATAAAAGGTTTTCACATATTCAGAAGTTCCAAGACTAGCATAATAATTCTGTCAACATGAATTTGTCAGTAATGATTCTTTCCACCTCCTCAATTCATGCAGCCATAGACCCAAATGTTGGACAACAGCAAGAGAAGATTTGCCTGTTCTGGGAACACATGCTTCTCAACCACTGGATGTGCACTTGAGATGACAAGTAATGACCAGATTCCTACAGCCTAAAAATTAACTGTAGTTAGATAATTGTCAGAAACTAAATATCTGCAAAACAGAGTGCTCTAGGGGGAGCAATGAAACAGATGCCATCTCCTAACTTCTAACAGCAGGACACTGGAGTATTTACAGGAGTCAGCAGTACTGAGTTTCTATGGAGTCTTAAAATGTCATTGCCATGTTAATCAGAATTTCTTTGCCCGCTTTAATAAAGTTTAATATACATAGTGTAGATTAAGTTATTCTTAAATGCCTGTTACAGATTCAGCAGGTAAAGGAATCATTCTTGTTAAAGGTCACAGGTAGAACCGAGTACACCAAAAGCTTTAATGAATACCTGTTAGCAAAGTTACTTTCACAGATTAGTGTAGCTATAGTTAGCAATTCACCCACAAAGCATCAATCCATTTTCTATTCTTTCTTCTCCCACTCATAAAAAGCTGCTCTTTGAGCAAGTATCTATATCCTAGAAAAATTAAACAAATACTGTTAGGTTATGGAGTTAATGTAAATTAAAAGGAGACTTCCCCTCCTCAAAAAAAGCATTTCTGGTATTTCTTTCATGCAGATACTCAGAAAAAACAAGGACATACAATGGATTACATTTACTTCAAGACCACTCTCCAGCTCTGTGAACAGAAGCTGAAGTCGGTTTGGATATCACCAGCTTTCAACAGTGCCATCAACATTGCTAACACTTTTTCAGATTGTCTCCCTGAAGAGACATAAGAAATGAGACCCAGGAAACACAAGTACCTGACAGAGGCCAAAGCTTCTCTGGCTTAGGTAATGCCAGACTGCTGATGTGGCCTGAAAAGCTCAGACAGGCACAGTGAAGTTCTGTTGTGATATAAATTAAGATCATCTCTCCTAGAAATAGTCTAGGAAAGACTTAAACTTTCCAAAACTTGTCAAGAGAGCAAAAGACTTTGGAGCTCAGATTAAACCAAAATCCACCTTGAAAGAAAAGGTGACAGGGCTGTGCTAACAACCCAAGCCAAAAATACCCACCCAACCCTCCAATACTGCTCATTTCCTCAAACCAGTATGACATGGCAGCAAGCTGTTTCAAATCTGCCAGGGGTAGGACTGCATTATGTATTTATTTTCAGGTTTATTTATAACATGGATTGTAGGCCATTTAAATATTGTTAAAAGGACCACTTGAGACTTCCTACACAATCTTATGCTGTTTCCATTTGCATTTTCTTAAGAGAAGTTACAAAAATAATCTAGTTATAGGACTCATTTTAATACTCTCTCATTTCATTGACAATATATGTTGATTAAACTTGCAACACCAAGTCTGTTATTCTGAACAAAGGTATTTACTCTTAAAACTGGTTATACAAGAGAGGAGGATAAACAAACAGAAACAGTGGGAAAAGTTAAATGTATAACATTCTTATGGGTGTTTACCTAAACTCTTTCATCATTTTACTAAGCTACCTTCTCAAGTCAGAGCCCCGCTGGCCTGATGGCCCTATTAAACATGCCTGTCCAGTTGAAGAGGTGAGACAGACTCCAGGGTTACTTGATCACTGCCAAGATACCAAGCGCTGACACTACATGGCTAGAGATGGATGCATGTCTTGTTTGACAAGAAAAAACAGAGAGACTAGGCTGGTATGATCAACAATTTCTCTGTCAAATGTTTCACAGTCTTGAAATATCTATGTTCTTGCACCTCCCTGCAGCATTTGAATAGATGACTTTATTCTAGCAGTTGTTCTACAGCTAGGTTTGCTATTTTATCTCCCTTCACAAGCTGAAGAAGCATGGGATCTGATTCACATTTCAGGAAGCACTGCAAAAGGTAGTTGGACTTGGAGTAGAACCATGCTTTTCTGTTTGTTAAATGGACTACTATGCATACACTCACAAATAGGGAGCTAGAAATAAAATCAGGTACACGTGATGAAGGTAGACAAGCTTCTCAGTTTTCAGGTTATTACCAGAGCTATCACACTATAAGCAGGTCCCCTGTGAAACTGTTGTTGGAAGACTGCTTATTGCTTTAAATAATGCAATACTCCACAAAGGCATTTTGGCAGTAGAGAAGTGCTCACAGAGCATATGTTGTTCCAGGAGAGAATTTAACTTGTCTGACAGGACTCAAATTTGAGTACATAAGACTTCTAATTTTTAAATTGAATTAAATTCTGCAGAGCATATCAGGTCCAGTGAACAGCACAATGCACTCTTCAAGGATTTCACTGCTGCAATATAGATCCCACCACCTCTTTTATGACAGTAATTTATAAGGATTAGTTGAGGGGTATTGTTGGGTTGGGGGCAGGGGCATCACTTAAGTTCAGAGACAGGTTTTCAAGTTATTTCAGTAGAAACATAAGGCAGAGAATTACATCAGGATAATTTACTTTTTCAGAAATGGAGTCTATGTCTTGAGCGTTCCAAGTTCCAGATGGTTTTGAGATTGATACACTCCATTACATTCTTGTCTTTTGCCTCCAGCTGATAATATTCAGGCTCTCACTTAAACACACCTTTAGCTAAAACTTGAGTGATAAAATATCTGTTGCAAAACAAATTATAGTATTATTAAACGCTTCAGAATGAAAGATTTGTGGCTGACAGTACACATTCACAAAAACTCTGCACCTGTTCTTTCTTTGGTGATATGAAATTTATTCTTGATCCAGTATTGCCATTAATAACTAAAAAACGACTGGAGAAAAAAAATATTAACACTTTAAAAATTAAACAAAGAATTGTGAGCACTCTGAAAGATGAAATCAGCTTACTGATCACTTGCAAACAAGAAACAAAGCGGCAACAACTGGAAGAAAGTGAGCTCATGCAGGAGGATTTAAAAGAGCAACTATATTTTACACCTCTTCAAAAGACATATCTCTAAGCTGATCAGAGAACAAGTAAGCTTAATATCAACAGCAATACACAAAGAGCAATTCAGCGATATGGTTATATGGATGGTAGCATAACAACTAGGCTTAAACAAGATAACAGACCACATATTAAGAAGTGGTCCTGTTCTTGACTGATCATAGAATGGTTTGGGTTGGAAGGGACCTGAAAGATCATCTGCTTCCAACGCCCTTGCCATGGGCAGAGACACCTTCCCCTAGACCAGGTTGCTCAAAGCCCCATCCAACCTGGCCTTGAACACTTCCAGGGATGGAACATCCACAACTTCTCTGGGCAACCTGTTCCAGTGCCTAACCACCCTCATGATAAATTGGAATATTAAAGGAAAAAAAAAAAAAAAAAAAAGAAGGTGCACTTGCACAACTTATCTCAGTGTGTTACAGAAATGGCTTATTCACCCCAAAGTAATCACTGAAGAAAGAAGAGTGCTGTAATAGTACATCAAAAGTAGCACACAAATATTCATACAAGAGCTACCTACATCTTACTGACATTGATGATTGCTTCCAATTAAAGGCTAGCAAAGACAGCACAAAGAGACTAGAATTAATAATTGATAGAATACAATAAATACTAAAAACACATGCAAACACTGAAGTTTTTCATTGACACCACCACCACAGCTTCATATATCTAGAACAACCAAATGACTGATACAATGTTGGCTTCTTTCAGCATAAGGCCAGAATCCCACAGAGATCAGCATAAACTTAGCATTACACAAGCAGGTAGTCCTCTATTTATAGGCATCATTCGGGAAACAAAACTGACATTAAAAAAAAAAAAAGAAATCAAGACTTACTTGTCAAGGAAGTCCTTGTCCACAACTGCACAGATATCAAGCAGAGGATTTCCCATTCCAAACAGGACATTTTCACTGTAAGATAATCAATTATTTCAAGTTAGCTTAGCATTAGTTTATTCTTCTTAGTATAATATGTTAAAGACATTTTTTCTTGAATACAGCTAGGGGACAAAGAGATAGACATTTTGCCCAGCGCAGTAGCCACATGGAGACCTGACATATAGACAGTCAAATCTGAGTGAAGTATCATCCTACAATAATCTTCTTTGATCAATTTATAAAGGTATATATTCTGTTAAACTATCATTCACTCAGATAAAGAATTAGAGCTGCATGCCACATTCAGTAGTTTTAAAGGATTGCCTTCAGGTTGTAATACCAGATTTTAGACAGGGGGAGCATCAGACCAGGTTATAAGAATTTCACTGAACAGACTTAGTTGCTGGGTTTACTCTGCTACTGACCAATAATTAACAATTTAAGTCTGTTTTTATAAACTGAAATTAAGAGATTATGGATTTTGCATTGTCAGCCATCTTAAACAGCATAGCTGTCTACTGATAAGAATGTACGTACTTTTTAAATAATTTGAAATTCATTACCAGGACCTCTGTCACATAAAAACAAGACATCAGAGATACTGTAAACAGCTGAAAGAGCTGGCTTTAACTTTTTTTTTTAGATTCATTCACAAACCATGTGTTACATTTTCCTGAATAGCATGTACTTGGGTGATAATACAGTAATACCAAAGGATTAGATACGTGGCCTAGTGTCAAGTAGGAGTGAATGCAGCTGTTCTCGAAGGCTGCCTAAAACTACATCCAAACCCATCACATTCCTTGCTAAGCTAACACCTGCTGCCTCCAACTGGCAAGGCAAGCCCTTGCTCTAGCCACCGAAGGTAGCTTCAGTATGACCACCAAATACGCCTCCCTCTTTACTACATCTCTATCAAGTATGTGCAGAGAAAGCATATCCCCTGTCTCTCCATCCCCCCAAAAGTACTACTGTAACACTGCAGTTGGATCCAAAGTTTATCTGCAGTTTATCCAAAGCTGCATAACAGTGTCAGCTGAATCTCAAAGAAAGTGAGTGAGTTTTCAATTGTTCTGGCCCATTTAGAGCAAGACAAATGTTTTAGAGATTCAACATCTGCCTACTAAATGATAGCTTTCATTAATTTCTAATCATTAGGATAAGAAAAAAAGAATATAAAACAAGCAGAAAGAGGATGATATGGAACAATGTCATGAACTGTGTCCAACAGAGGTTGGAAACTCTTTCACTTACTTCCTCTAACAACTGTTATGAAAAGCCCTTAGCTGACAAATATTTGTCAAATCTGAAGCTACTTGCCAACAGTACACAGTCAAACTTCTTCCTCTTTATGATGCCACATTAGCCTCTATTAAATGCTAAATTCTGAAGTCTGGAAATGAAGACGTGGAAAACATGATTAATAACCTTGATACTGAGACACAGCAAACCATGCTTTAAGTATCTTAATTTTTGTTGTAGCTTTAAAGACAGGCCTTTACAGCACATTTCACTGTAAGGAAAATGTGGAAGACACTGCTTTGTGAAGACAGAGCCAGAAATCCAGCTCACTCCTAACTAAGATAGGTAACATCTGCTTAGTAGAAACCTGTAAGACTCACTAAATACTTTTGTCAGCGTGAAAAGAAGTATTGATTCTTCTAAATAGCATAACCATAAGTTATATCTAGCTAGAAGAAAAGAAGAGGGAGAGACAGATGACAGTTAAGACAACATAAGGATAAAGGGGATTGCAGTTAGAGCCCCAAGACAGGACATTCTCACCATTTTAAAAAAGAAGTATTGCATCAGTAGTATTGCGTAACAATGAATTAACAAGTCGGAATTCTGAAAGCACTGAATGCAGATTTGTCCCAAACTGCATGTTCCTGTACTTGATGTTTAGCTGATTCTCACATTCTGTGAAATTCTACGCATCAATAACTTTACACCTACACTTAAGAAAAAAAATGCATCTCATGGGTAACTTCTATATAAGACAAGTATCAGCACTTAAGTGTGTGGTATGCCAAAAAACCACAGCTGTACTTCAAATAACTCTCTGAAATACAGATAACATGTTGAGGTCACTACCTATGAAGAAGTTACCTTGTTCAACGGAAAAGCGAACTAGAAGCTACCAAACAAGCTGTGGACTGCAGAACATACTGGTCAATATACTTGAAGCAGCACAAGAGCAACTTTGTACTGGTTTAGCATCCACAGAAGCTCTGTCAAGCCAATAAAGTGCATACAAACTCCTAATATGTCAGCAGCAGCAGGAACTAGCAGTTTCAGTGCCATTTAATCCAGGCAGTTCTTTCCATCACATACAAACAAGTCCTGCTCTATCCCCAAGCCCTCCTTCTCCCACAGTATTTTACAGTAATCCAGAGGCTGCGTAGTACGGTGCCATCTGGGATGGAAAGTTTTAAAAGCCGAGGTAGTTATCACCAGACTACTAAGTGTATGTTCAGAAACATTGCCCTGAAACTTCTGGGTAAACTCTCCCCAACTTCAGCATAGTTGTTTCTCACAACCAAATGTAAGATAACAGAACTTGACAGCTTTTCAAACACATAAAAATGAGTACATTAACTGTTTGATTTCTATGAAGAGGTACACAGGTTATAACACTCAACTTATTTTTGCAAATAATCTAAATACATGAGCTAATATATACTAATAGCTAGCCTTGTGTTTTCAATTAAGATGTATTTCTATATTTTTGGTTGTTTCAGCTATATGTTTGAATTAACTAAGGCCCAAGGTACTAGAACCTCCATGCTTAAAGTAGATATTAACATTGCATTGGCAAAAAGGAGAAAAATCCATACACTCCATTTGTACTGGAGGCTGTAGTTGCGTCATTCCTTAACTGACACTGCATTTGGTAAAAACACCTTTCGGGGCAAGATGGGAAGAGTCTAAACAATCTCTTTCCCAGTCACAAATTTTAAAAATTCAACAAGTTCAAGCAGACATTTAAGATCACCACTGTGATCACCGTTTTCTAATACAAGCTTTGTGAACCACAATCTTGAAAGTCTAGTGTTACTTTTAAAGATAAGACTTGGCTGTGTAAATCCTTAGCATGTTCAATCTGATTAACCCAACATCGGCTACATTTCAGTGCAGTGAAATCACCCTTCCCTTCTTGAGGGGCTGCAAAGTATCTGCACTGTTACACTATTGCACTTTTTTGTGGCACAACATGAGGTATAGCATATACCTGGCTACAGTTTGCTTCTCTGTAAAAATAAAGTTAAAAAAAAAGTCGCATATACTCTGTACAGCCACATATTGTAAAAGCATAAAATTAAACACAATATTTAGGATCCTGGAGAATGCTTAATTCACAAGAGTCTGGAGCAAGAAACTGAGATATTAAACTATTACATTCTCACCAAGTTTAACACTTTCAGCAGTACACTTGGACCTTATTGGCCTTATGTTTGCTGTTCAGTCACACCGGACACCTGCACTGATTAAAATTTCATGGATTATTTCCAACCAACTAGACATAAAACATAGTGAGGAAGCAGCAGTAGATTCCTGAAGTGTGAGATTTCACAATACATAGGTTATTTGGGAAATACATCTCTGCAACAGACACAAAACAAACACTTATGTACTCCACAGCCTCCTTGACTCTCTCCAGTCCCTTCTCTTGCACGGGAGTACTGATATCTAATGATCTGAGAAGGATGTTCTTGCTCAACTCGACTAACCTATTGCAAAAGAATATTTGACTCAGCTCTTCAACAAGCGACAACTCTTCCACCTGCACAAATTAAGGGCATATAATTGACTGTACACAGTCAGTATGTATACGTGTGTGTGCATACACATACACCCAGAGTACATATATATATAAACAGTATATATACTTTTTAAACTCTAAACTAAGATGTTCATGCTAATCTAAAACTTATTTGGACACAGAAATACGTTGTCCATCTAGCAGGCAAAGCTACAGCAACAACGGTAACTTACTTTACAGAAAGCTTGTATATACACCACATTTGCATTCTGAACTCTTGACAGCAAACTATATTTTACAAGTTTGTCATTTAACTTTGGACTAGATGAAGAGTGAGTTGTAATTACAAGTTCAAGCATTGTAATTCATTAAATAAAAATAAATCTTTACCTGCTAATTATGGCATTTTTGTTTGGAGGTTGCCAGGATGATTGATTTTTCATAACTAGCCAGTTTCACGTATTACTCTTATCACAAGTTGCAGAAGTAATGAAATGAAACCAAACTGGATGAAAACAAAACAAAAACCCCAACCAAATAAAAATCCCCACATCAGTACTGAGCTACCCTTCAATCATTTTTAAGAAGTCAGCAAAATCAACTGTAACTGAATGATCTGGAAAGCTGTGTCCAATATCACGGTTAACACATTACTAATGCTCTACTGTTGCTGGCATTTTTAAAAATATGGTCCTGATTCAAGTTGGCTGCTGAACATTAGCAGTACTGTATCTAACTGTCACACAATATTGTTATCATCCCATGCTGCTTTGCACTTCAGTGGACGAGCAACATCAAAACATCAGTGAAAGCATATTATTAGTTACTGGCACAGAGACAGAGGAATATTTTGAGCTTTGGATACTGGCATGTCTTGCTTAAAAAAAAAAATCCCATTATTTCTTAAAAAACATTTCATATTTTTTCTTGTTAATTACTGCAAAAAAAAATTTCTCATCTATATAACAGTAACTAATAGTAAAGGAAGCCAAGTTGAAAATGTCACCTTTTCTATTGCTCTGTAACAGCCTCATACTGCTGTACAGTTGTACACTTAATATTAAATTCTTATGCTAAGACATTTTACAGTCAGAAAGCCTTAATAGAACACAATTGGGACATTTGGGTGTCCCAATTGCATGACAGCCTGCTGTATGTCTAGTCTTCCATTTACAAATATAACATACGGTTTTGTAAGATCTAAAACGTTAGTATTTCTACAGGGTTTGATTGTGCCCTTAAAAGTAAGGCCAAACAAGGCATGTTCTAAGCCAGTTCTCAGTATATCCATTTTGGTCACAAAGGAACACCGCTAAATCCCATGCAACACAAGATTTGAATTTATCAAAAATCATTTATACATGTAGTTAAAACAAAACAGTGATAGTATCAGATTCATAGCGTTTGAATAGCTATAAGCTCTTGACTAAGAACATCCTTCTCTCATCCCACTTACCTATGCGACGTAAATATAAGTGAATAAGATGACATTTATTGTTAACCATAACTTGTCTGACACTAAAAGTACCTCAGAACTATCATTCCATGATTCCAGAGTTCAGACAAATTTCCCTTGCATCACTTGTCAGTAAATCACTTTGGCGTATAGACCTTAAACATACACGTAGCCTGCAGGACTGCTCACATGCTTTCCTGACTTAGGTCTTAAGTAAAGGCAATATTTGGCTAAGGAGTTACATGTCTACATACTGACTTAGAGGAGTATCTTCAGTGAAGATTTCATTCATTATGAAACTTTCATAGTGTTCTAGAGTGACACATTCACAGCTTCCAACTCAGAAGCCAAGCCTAAAAGCCTTGGCCTTATGTAACCAAGGCTGCTGCAGGAAAAATAAATAAATAAATAAATAAATAATTGTTCCACCCCTACCCAGCTCCTTACACAGCTGTGCTAACTCCACAAGCTCCAACAGTGAGACACTACTGCAATTTCAAAGAGTTACCACCGTCTGTACTCCTCGGTCAGAAACAGTGTGAAATCTGATACACACAGTTTTGAGGGTGGAGAGAGGAGATGGGAGAGTTGCCTTGAATGATCATTGAACTTGGAGTCTGTCATTTTAGGCGTTTCTTTAGCAACTGAAGGACCGATCAAAACAACTACACGAAGTTCGCTTCACAACACCACCCCATCTTAAGATGAAGTGTTTTAGGAAGCAAAACTGGTCATAATAATTCCTTTCACTGAATGTTAAGGGCTTGTCATTCTTCAGTTACCACTGATAAACTGACACCACCCCAGCTCCAACAGACTGCTAAGAGCCTAGCCTGTTAGCATTACCCTGCTTCTCATTATTTGGGATTCATTTAAAATTAGGTTCCAGTCATGGCACGCTACAGCGATGCTTTAAGGTTCAAACGCGGCTGCCGGGGTCCCACGACGCCCGTCC